TATTGCTACCATCACTACCCACATTACGATCTGTACCAGTATGAATGATGGTACGATTCTGAAGAAGGCGAAGAAGAAGTCGGATACTAAGAGGCAGCATCATGCGAGCATAGGTATAATACTCATACGAAGAATACGACAGACCATATGAATTTAACCATTGTTGATCTTATTTGTTATTCATACTAGTAGGGGAGCCACTAGTCATAATGATCATGGTAATGCTGTCGACGATGCGACTCATACGAATAATACTAACAACACTGTGATGAGGAAGAGGAGGACACAAGGAGGAGGAGGAGGAGGGCAAGGATGAGGACGAGGAGGAGGAGGAGGAGGAGGAGGAGGAAACTATGGAACACGGGGAGGGAGTAGGGAGGAGGAGGGAGGAGGGAGGAGGGGGAGGGAGGAGGAGGAGGAGGAGAAGGAGGAGGAGGAGGAGGAGGAGGAGGAAGGCGGAGGGGACGCGCCTGGTGTTCCAGCGGTTGTGGAGGTTTTCGATGTTCGGAGCTTGTTCGTCCGTTTCGGCCGTCAAACATGTCTTGCCTTGTGGCTCATCCTGCCACTGTGTTTTGATTGTGGGTTTGACTCCTCATGGATGCTTCTTGTGGTCGTTTCGGATTTGTCTCGGGTGCCTCGTCGGAGCCTCTTGGGGGCCTTTTGGGGTTTGCTGGGGGCCTCTGGGGGACTTCTTGGGATCTCTTGGGGAGCTCTTGGGGGCTTCTTGGGGCGTGCTGGAACCCTCTCGAAACCGAGGGCTCGACATGTCCGTTCGCCCTCCCCCCCCCCTAACTGGGCCCTCTATTGGATCCGTGTTTGGGACTTCGTTGGCCATCGTGGAGACCTTGGGAGAGTTTGGGGTCCTGTTGGGCCGGGTTGGGGCCCTCGTGATGACTGTTCGGGCCGTTGTGAGGTGTTTGAGGCCTCTTGGGCCGTTTCGAAGCGTCGGCACACCGAACAGGCAAGAACGCCGTAATCTTCGAAACAATTATGAGCAAGCAATCGTGGATTTCGCCTCGTGGGGCCGTCCTCTCCCTCTTATTCCCCCTCCCGCCATCCCATCGCATCCTCCTCGTCCTCCTCCTCCACGTCCACCTCCTCCTCCCTCTCCTCGTCCTTCTCCTCCACATTTGAACAGCTGAAGGAGCATATCCGCATCCGCCTGCCGCCGATCGACAGTCTTTTCTCGGAGAGGCCCAGGCGTCGCCGTGCGGTGCGCCATGGCGCTGAACCTTGCGGCGCCCGCATGGGGGCTGAAACGAGCGCATGGGGATGGAGGAGACCAGTCGCAGCAGAAGACCAGACGGCTCGTCAGCGGCCTGCAAGGCCAAGGCGCCAAAGAGGTCAACACAGTATCCAAGCAGCTCATCGTCCTCACCAAGCTGTCGCTCACGAGCGCGGCCGAGATCCGAGAGACCATTGGAATGTTGTGGACAACCCTCCTCATCAGCTGCTCTTCCCCCCGTGGTCAAAGCTATGTTGCAGCAGGGCAAGGCCTACCACGAGGCCGCGAAGTCCTCCAAGGACGATCCCAGGGCGCAGGAGGAGCTCGGCCCCGGTCTATTCCGAGGACTGGGAGAGTACGACGATCTGCTGGCATCCGACGCAGAGAAGCTCAAATGTTACTGTATGGACAACGTCGGAGGCCCCCACTGCAAGGCGACGGACTTGCTGGGACAGGTGCCTTTTTGCAAGTACAAGGGAACCAAGCAGAAACAATGCAAAGAGGATACGGTCAAGAGTTCGCTGGCCACGCATTCGTCGCAGTCCGAAGTGCAGCACCTGATTGCGAGGATGTTGCTCGCCCACCAGGCCATCCAGAAATACGGGCCTGCTCCCCGCAGGCCCCTCGGGCGCGCGGCCCAGGAGTTCCTCGAGGTGCTGGAGGGAGGACCAAAGGCGAAGCCGAAGGCGAAGGCGAAGGCGTAAGTACGATGAGGGCTGTGAGACTCACACCTATCCGGCGCGCACAGGTAACAACGTTTTGTCAGAGTCTGCTAGCTTTAGTTGAGAGCGGAATCGTTCCGCTAGGCGCGGCTCTGAGGCAGACAGCTTCCGCGGCCATAGTCGCACAGATGCTTCAGGTCTGCGCCCGAACTGAGCGCCCTGCGCAGAGAGGGGGTGGTGGTGAACGATCCTCGAGTGCGGCCCCGAGTGAGCTTGACTTGCGCGATCACCCTCCTTCCGATCCTTAATTGTTTCAGATTTTTCATCCCCGTCCACCTTCGGGCTTCTGTCCTTGCCTTATGTTCTCCTTGTTTGTTCTCTCGCGTCCGTTCGGGCCCTCGTCGGTCCCTTCGGTTCGTGGGCTTGCGTTCTGTGCCCTGGGGGTGGGCTGCATCTAAGCTTACCTCTAGACGGGGACCTCTCCCTGCAGTCATGTGCGTGCGAGGTGGCCTCCCAGCTTGTCCGCAAACGAGCGTGCTACATATGGCCAGAGCAGTTCTCTCCTGCCCGCACGGTAGGAAAGGCAAAGTTCCTTGGTGGGTCTTCAGGGCGCCGTAGCAAGCAGGTTGGTCGTTATAAATAGGTGCGATACACCACGAGTGGCCAAGGCTGTTCAGAAATTCTCAATCTGACTTAATGCCCCAAAAGTTCGGTCCGATTTGATTCCTCTCCCTCCTCCTCCTCCTCCTTACCTCCTCCTTCTTCTCGTCCTCCTCGTCCTCTTCCTCCTCGTCCTCCTCTTCCTCCTCCTCCTCCTCCTCCTCCTCCTCCTCCTCCTCCTCCTCCTCCTCCTCCTCCTCCTCCTCCTCCCCCCCCCCTCCCCCTCCTCTCCCCTCCTTCTCCTCCCTCCTCCTCCTCCTCCTCCGCCTTCTCCCTCCTCCTCCTCCTCCTCCTCCTCCTCCTCCTCCTCCTCCTCCTCCTCCTCCTTCCTCCTCCCCTCCGCCTCCTCGGCCTCCTCCTCCTCCTCCCTCTCCGCCTCCGCCTCCTCCTCCTCCTCCTGCTCGTCCTTCTCCTCGTCCTCCTCCTCTCCTCCTCCTCCTCTTCTCTTCTTCCTTCCTTTCCTCCTCCTCCCCCCTTCTGCTGCTTCCTCCTCCTCCTCTTCTCCTCCCTCCTCCTCCTCCCCCTCCTCTTCTTCCTCTTCTCCTCCTCCTTTCTCCTCCTCCTCCTACTCCCCCTCATCCTCCTCTTCTTCTTCCTCTTCCTCATCCTCCTCATCGTGCTCCCCCTTCTCTCTCCCCTCCCCTCCTCCGCCTCCTTCTCCTCCTCATCTCCCTTCTCCTCCTCCACCTCCTCATCCTCCTCCTTCTTTTTCTTGAATCGTTCCTCCTCCTCCTCGTCCTCGTCCTCCTCCTCCTCCGCTGCCTCCTCCTCCTCCTTGTTCTCCTTCTCCTCCTCCTCCTCCTTCTCCTCCTCCTCCTTGTCCTCCTTCTTTCCCTCCTTATATCCCTCCTCCTCCTTCTTCTCATCCTTCTCGTCGTCCTGCTCCTCCCCCGTTTCCGTTTCCGCCTCTACCTCCGCTGTTTCCTCTTTCCCCTCCGTTTCCTCCTCCTCGCCCCTTTCTGGTGATTCTTATTCTAATCATTTCTCCTCCTCTTCTTCCTCTTCCTCCTCCTCCTCTTCCTCCTCCTCCTCATCCTCCTCATCCCCTCCTCCTCTTCCTCCTCCTGCTCCTTTTCCTCCTCGTCCTCGTTCTTCTCCTCCTCCTCCGGTTCCTCATTCTCCCCTTTCGTTCTTCGCCCTTCTCCTCCTCCTCCTCCTCATCCTAATCCTCTTCCTCATCCTCTCCGTCGTCGTCCTTCTTATAGTATGGTTGCCCGTATGCGTAGTCGTTGTGCCATTACTAATCGTCGCAGACTGAGTCGTGTAAACAGTGGTAGCAATACTGATGCTATCATGTTGTCGATGTTGTGCTTATCATTCGTGTTAGCATTGGCCGTTTGGTATCAGCAGTGATGCGATTCATGCTATCAAGATTCATTGGTCTTTTAGTGTGCTTCCTAAGACAACTAGTACGCGTATTAGCATTGTTATTCTTATTATTGGTAGTAAGAACATGTTCGTACTATGGTTGTTGGTGGATTGTTGTTGCAGGTGGTGATGCTGGTGGTGGTGTCGTCGGTGGTGTTGTGGTTGTTGCTGGTGGTGGTAGTGTTGTTGTTGTTGCTGTTGGTGTTGGTGTTGGTGTTGGTGTTGTTGTTGTTGTTGTTGGTGGTGTTGGTGTTGGTGTTGGTGTTGTTGTTGTTGTTGTTGTTGCTGTCGTTGTTGATGTTGTGGTTGATGTTGTTGTTGTTATTGTTGGTGTTGTTGTTGTTGTTGTTGTTGGTGGTGGTGGTGGTGGTGGTGTTGGTGTTGGTGTTGTTGTTGTTGCTGTTGTAATTGCTATTGTTGTAACTGCTGTGTTGTATTACTTCAAGTATGCTGAATATTGTGATGGGTGCGCTTAATGGTACCACTAGTTTCGTCTTGTGCTTGTTCCTCCTCCTCCGCTTCCTCCTCCTCCTCCTCCTTGTCCTCCTCCTCCCCCTCCCCCCCCTCCCCCCCTCCTTCTCCCCCTCCTCCTCCTCCTCCTCCTCCTCCTCCTCCTCCTCCTCCTCCTCCTCCTCCTCCTCCCTCCTCCCCTCCCCCTTGTCCTCCTCCTCCTCCTTCTTTCTCCGTGTTCCTTTTTCCGTTCTCCTTCTCCTCTTTTTTCCCCTCCTCTTCCTCCTCCTCCCTCCTCCTCCTCCTCCTCCTCTTCCTCCTCCTCCTCCCCCTCTTTCTCTTATCTGACCCCTCGCCTCATGGGGCCTTGAATTTGACCTCGTGGGGCCTTCCTCCCTGAATTTCGCCTCGTGGGGCCGTTCTTCCCCGTGTTTTCCCCTCCCACCCTCCCATCGCCTCCTCCTTTTCCTCCTCTTCCTCCTCCTCGTCGTCCTCCTCCTCCTCCTTCTCCACGTCCTCCTCCCCCTCCTCCTCCTCCTCCTCCTCCTCCTCCTCCTCCTCCTTTCTCTTCCCTTCCTGGGCGCCCCCCCCCTCCCCCGGGGAGCGCCTGTGCGCCGCACCGCGCGCCGCCGCAGGCTGGAGCACGGCCCTCCCCGGGCTGCAGGCCGCGAGCCCGCAGGCGGGCGCGCGGGCGGGCGCGCGGCCGCGCGCCGCCCTGCGGCAGGGGCACGATGATTCTTATCCTCTTCCTCCCCCTCCTCCTTGCCCTCCTCCTCCTTCCTCCTCCTCCTCCTTTCTCCGTTCTCCTCCTCCTCTTCCTCCTCCCCCTCCCCCTTCATCTCCTCCTCCTCCTCCTCCTTCTCCTCCTCGTCCTCCTCTTCCTCCTTCTCCTCCTCCCTCCTTCCCCTTTTCCTCCTCCTCCTCCTCCTCCTCCTCCTCCTCCTCCTCCTCCCCCTTCTCCTTCCTCCTCCCTCCTCCTGGCGATGCCTTCTCTTCTTACGGCACGGCCTTCGCGACGCCTTGCTCCAGCAGCTTGGACTGGAACTCGCATACGGCGTCCGCCTCGCCCCTGACGATAATGGGCGTGACCGGCGGGGCAGGGAGGCAAGGGGCAGGTTACATCACGATTCGCGCTGGCGCCGTTTGGGAATACTTAGGTCGGGAGTCCTGAGATGGGTATCAATGCAAACGGGGGTCAGCCAGAGCGCGGGATCTTGCAGGATCTTGCAGAGTCAGGGTTGCAATGACTCCGGCTTGCGCGCAGGATCTTGCAGAATCATTCAGGACCTTGCAGCAGGATTTTGCAGGATCCTGCGAAACCTGATTGACGAGGGTTGGGATTGACCCGGGTCAGTAGATCCCGGAAGGTCGGTCACATGACGATTCTCGCCAGCGCCGTCTGGGAATGCTTACGGATGGTTGATTCCCATACGGCGCTAGCGTGAATCGTGAGGTGACCCGGGGGAGGGGGGAGCGGCGGCGACGGGCGTTCTCGCAAAGAAAAAAGTTAATGTTCGATGTCTGTTCATGGGAGCCCTGGGCGGCGACATTGAGATTCGAGCTATGTACTTCCCGGGGCCTGACTGTTGCAAATACGCTCTTCGACGAGCCGGTGGAGAGACGGATCACTTACTATGACATCGGCTCATCTCCGACAGACCCCCCTTACAGAGCAACATTTCGGCCAACTAGATTTATTTCTCATCAGTTCGGAGTGGAAAGGTTCGGTGCAACGTGTTTGGAGCGACCGCGCCGCAGCGTTGGCATCGCACCACTTCCTTGTGCAAGCCCGTGTCCTGATCGACATCCCCCGGACAGAGCCGAGGGCTGACAAGAAACGGAAATATTATTCTGTTCTGCGGGACCCGAGCGCTGCGAAATCATTTGCCGAAGCTTTTTGCGAGCAGATGGGTTCGGAGAGCGACGATGCCGTGGTCGAGTCCGCCCAGTCCTTGGACGAACGGATGACGCAAGCATTATGTTTTGCCGCCGTTCGCGTTCTCCCTGACACGAAGCTGCTGCCCAGGAGGCCTTGGATCTCGTCGGGCACTCTTGCGCTCATCGAGAAGCGCAACGCCGCTCGTGAGAAAGGGTCGCATGAAGAGGAGTGCGAGCTCGCCAGGCAGGTCCGGGCATCTGTGAAGTCAGATAGGTCACAGTGGTTGGAGAGCAGTCTCGCCACGGGGTAGTGGGCGCCGACCCGGCAGCTTCGGAAAGGCGCATCCTCGAAGCAAGGCCGGCTCGCGAACTCGAGCGGAGAGATCGTGGACTCGGACCAGCGCGCCGACAGTATGGCACAGTATTTCGCCCAAGTCCAATGGGCTGTTCGGCCGACTTCAGCCGCCGATTGCACAGACTGCTTGGGTCCTACTTTACCTGTGTCGTGTGATCCCATCTCCGAGGACGAGGTGTTGGCAACGGCTGTCAAACTGAAGAGGGGAAAGGCCGCCGGCGCAGACGGAGTTCCAGGCGAGTTCTGGACATCGATTTGCACTCCAGGGGCCCCTGCCTGCAGGTGGGCCGTGTCACTGTGCAACGAGTGTTTGGACGAACGTGTGGTCCCTTACGCCTGGCACAAGGCGCTCGTCACGGCTATCTTCAAAAAGGGCGACGTTGCAAACTGCGAAAATTATCGTCCAATAAGTTTGCTGTCGATTGGGTATAAGATGTTCTCTACAATTATTTTGAACCGTCTGAAAGCAGCTGGTGCTGAACAGAGAGTTTGGAACACCCAGTTCGGCCTCAAGAGCAAGCGGGCAGAGGAAAGCGGGCGCCCAGTCTTGCTGGCTTTGGAGTGTGCGAAGGCATTTGCCTGATGCGTTGGGCCTGTCATTGGAGCGGTTCGGCGTCCCCAGCCACTTCGTACAAATTGTGCGTGCCATATACACAGATCGTACTTTTTTCTGTCCGCGACGCTGGAAAAAAAACATCGGTATAGCATCCACAAGCATTCGGCATCAGTCAGGGATGTCCGCTCTCTCCATTCTTGTTCGCTATATTGATGACTACTTTATTGCGCGATGCAAAAAGAGAGGCCGATCCTTATCTGAATAAGAGCATGCGTGCGAATGAACTTTTACGCAGACGACACACTTTTGCCAGCCACCTCTGGCGCATCAGCCGAGGCGCGCACGCATGCCGTATAACGTATAGGGCGGCAGTACGGTTTACAGCTTGACTGTCGCAAGTATGAAGCCTTGGCTGAAGGAGCCGACGCATGCATTCTCCAGCCGGACGGCACCCCGATCCCACAGAAAAGAAGCATTGTGTATTTAGGTAGTTTGATTAGCGACGGCGGCAAAATAGGTTCAGAGCTGTCACGCCGTCTAGGGGCTGCAGGGGCAGAATCGACAAGTTAACCAGGGTATGGAGCCATTCTACCCTCACGCAACAGAAGAATATTCAGAGTTTTGATTCTTGCGTTTTAAGTAAGCTGTTGTACTGTCTGCACACTTCGTATCTTAACAAGCACGAGCTGGGTCGTTTGGGCGCGTTCCAGGCGCGATGTCTACGCAAGTTGTTGCGCATTCCCCATTCATACATCAGCAGAGTCTCGAACGACACCGTGCTTCAACGGGCCGGCGCCCGCCCACTTAGCAGCACGCTCCTCTGTAGACAACTTCTTTTGCTTGGTCATATCGCCCGAAAGCTAGGTGACAACGCTGTGCGTTGCGCAGTGTTCCAGCCCTTTTCCTCCCTCCGCCTCCCCCCTCCCGCCAGAGAGAGGGGGCGGCCACGAGCAACGTGGCCCCAGGAAATTTACAAGCACGCCTGCGAAGCAGCTGGGGGTGTGGAGGCCCTTCCAGCGCTTTGGCAGGACACCATTTCTTCGGCCACGGCGCGGCGTGTCGCAATCAGCAAGTATTGCGATGCCGCGTGGTAGTGGCTATGTGCCCATGTGCGTTTCGTATTCAGCATTTGCTGGCTTGCTGCATGGGACAGCATTTGGACCGCCCCTCCTCTAGGTTGCGCACAGACTAGACAGGCCCTTCGAGCAGCCCCAGCTGACCTCAACAGGCCCCCCGGGTAGTCCAGGGCGGTGTCAACATCCCAACGCGAGGAAGAGGAGGAGGAGGAGGAGGAGGAGGCGGAGGAGGAGGAGGAGGAGGAGGGCTTGTTGAATCCAACATGGGCCCGTCGGGGGGCCTGTTGAGGCCAGTTGGGGCTACCACGAGGCCACCTCTGCGCAGCCCGAAGCCTCGCCAGGCAGGGCGATGTTTGATGTAGTTCACTGCTCCACGTGTGGACCCCCTCTCGATCAGTAAAGAAACTCACGACGTGAGGTTTTCGGACGTTTTCGTTTGTTCATGGAGAATTTCCAGCCTCGGGATGCTTTGCAACGGCCGCGCCTCTCCAAGAGCATTCCAGGGGAACCTGGATCGTCCCGAACAGCCGCCGGAGAGCCAAGTCATGGCCCGAAAGTTCAGGCATGCCCTGTTTCGCGCAGAAATCACGCACGGCGATGTACGAGGTAGGTCACCTTTCCGTGTGCAATGTGAGCCCCATGATAGGGACCCTTCCTCCCCGTATCTCCCGGGGAGGGTCAACACTCCCATCGGCCCTGTCGTTGTCTGAATGTTTTGGATTTGGGCGTTCTCGCTTGTCCCGCTTTCCAGCGCTCCGTCACGGCCTCGGAGGCCCTTCAGATCTCTCCAAGAAGGCCCACGAGGGCCCCAAGACGGCCCAGGATGCTCCCCAGACAACCCAAGTGTGCCCCAAGAGCGCGCCAAGAAAAGGCCCAGAGGGTTCCCGAGGCGGCCCGGTCTCGCCCCGAAGCGAGCCACGACAGGCTAATGGAGGTCCCGAGAAGGCCCTAGACGGTCCCAAGAGGCCCGAGGACGCCCAAACTGCCATCAAGACGGCCGACGAGGACTCCAACACGCTCCAGGACGGATTCAACAGGCTCCCCAAAAGGGCCCGGGGAGGCAAGATTCACAAATTTTCCGATGGTTTCTGAAGGACTTAGGCGTTCTCGCTTTCCCCGCTTCCCAGCGCTCCCTCACGGCCTCGCTCGGAAGCCCTTCAGACCGCTCCAAGACGGGCCCCGAGGCCCCGAAGAGGGCCCCAAGACGGCCCCGGAGGCTCCCCAGACAACCCAACTGTGCCCCAAGAGCTCCGCAAGAGAGGGCCCAGAGGGGCACCGCCAACCGATATTTCGAGGTCTCTAGCCCTAGAGGCCGCCTGAGGCCACCAAGAGGCTCCCACGAAGCCCCGTGAGGCGCCCAAGAGGCCCCCAGGAAGCTCCAAGAGACCCCCAAGGGGCTCCCAGTGAACGCCCAGGAGGCCCCCCAACACACCCCAAGAAATCATGTCCCCAGAAAACCTTCCAGGGACATGGTTCATCATGGGCCCGAGAGTTGCCGGAGGCCCCAAGGGGCCCCCAGGGAACGCCCAAGAGACCCCCCAACACACCCCAACAAACCATATCCCCAGAAAGCCTTCCGGGGACATGGTTCATCATGGTCCCGCGAGTCTCCGGAGGCTTCGAAGGACCATCATGCTAGAGGAGAGTTGTCTGGGAAGTTGATTGGGAACATGACCGATCGCCTTCTCGCGGCCCTCCGCAGATCGTTTCGCACAAAGTTGCCCCAAGTGCCCTCTTGAATCGACGACGACGACGAAACGATGAAAACGACGATGACGACGACGACGACGACGACGACGACGACGACGACGACGACGACGACGACGACGACGACGACGACGACGACGGCGCGCCCCAATAGGCGACGACGACTTTACGACGACGACGACGACGACGACGACGACAACGACGACGACGACGGCACGCCCCAACAGGCTCCCCAAGTCGAGAAGGCCTTCTGGGAACTCGATTCATACGGCCTCCGCCCCCCTGCACAACCATTTTCCGCGAAGGCCTTTCGGAATGCAGATTGGCATGTGCGGATTGTGGTCCACTACTTCAGTGGAGCAGTGAATTCGTCAAGGCCTGTGGCCTGCTAGAACCTGAGCGCGCGCGAAGCGCGCGCGATGGTTCTACTTTTTCTATATATATATATATAAATGTGTGTTCAGATACAACTGGATTGTCAGATCACCTCGTCTTCCCTTTCTGCACCCCTGCAACCCCATCCCGCCCTTCTCCTATCGCCCTTTTCCCTCCCACGGTACTCATAGACGCAGTGACCCTCACTCCTCGGGTCTTGCCGTCGACCTCCGTCCCCTCCTCTCTCTCTCTCTCCCCCTCGCGCTCCGTTCTCTGCACACATGTCCACGCGCAGCTGACTGGCGTCGGCTTCGCCGTCGCCGTATATCCGTCACAGTCGCTGTCGCCGTCCCCGCGCCCGTGCCGCCGCCCTCGTCGTCGCCGTGGCCGTCGTCGCGCCGGTGCCGCCGCCCTCGGCTTCTTCGTCGAGGTCCCTCGACTACACATAAGAGTGACCCTTCGCCGGAGTGACCTTTGGTGCTGGCCCAAGGGGGGTCGGGAGATTTTTCTTGCGGGATGAACTTGACCTCGCGTCGGCACCCGCATCGCGTGATTGCGCTCGCGTCTGAGCGCGCCAGGATTGGGGCCACCACTTGCAATCGACAGCAGCGCATACGCGTTGCACCCTACATTTTGCATTAGTTACCCGAGGGGGAGCCGGTCGACCAGTCGGCGCGTTTTCCGGCCCCGGACCAGTCCCGAATCCCAGCCCAAATCCCAGAATGTCTGGCTTGAATATCTTTGGATATCTACGAATATCTTTGAATATGGTTAAATATGTTTGAAGAACCAATGGGGATCTTTACTCTTATAAGTTACCCACAAATATTCAAACATATTCCAGGCTCTCAGATAGGGCCGGTTTTGGCCATGACGCCGGGCCTGGTCAGACGTCATCGCGATGCAGCCCAGCAGTGCCAGACTTCGTCGCGGTGGCCCCCGGCAGCGTCTGTTTTCGCAGCGTGTTCGAAGGGCCTCTCGGGGCGCTCGAATTCAATCGGCGGAATTTCGCGGTTGCCCAGTGGCTCAAGGAAAAAAATCGAGTGGCGCCCCGCCGATTCTTGACGCGGCGCGGCAATGCCAGCTTGCGCGATTGCGATGGGCCCCCACGGGAGCCCCTGGGGCCGCGCACCAAAGGTCACTCTAGCCTAGGGTCACTTCTAGGTGTAGTCGAGTCCTGCCCGTGCCGCCGCCCTCGTTGTCGCGGTCGCAGTCAACGCGTCCGTGCCGCCGCCCTCGTCGTCGTCGTCGTCGTCGTCGTCGTCGTCGTCGTCGTCCTCATCATCGTCCTCGTCCTCGTCGTCGTCGCAAGCGTCGTCTTCGTCGGCGGCCCGCCTGACCGCGTTGGCCGAGGGCCCTCCTGGCCGCGCGGCCGCGGCGGCGCCGCCGCCGGGGCTGGAGCGGGAGCCCGCGCGGCAGCAGCAGGCGCTCCTCCTCCCCCCAGACGCCGCCCTTCTTGGGGGACCGGACTCCGAGGCGCTTCACGAGGAGGATCACCACCCGCCAAACCACCCCGACCCAACCCGAAGGCCCCAAGATGCCCCCCATTCCCAGTGGGGTGGGGGGGGGCGTCGGGGAACATTGAAACAAACATCTCGAACTCGTACCCCCAAACGCGAAATTTGGGCCCTCGGGCTGGGTTGGGGTGGTCCTGGTTGGAGGAGAAGGAGGAGTCTTCGACCCCTACCGCGAGGAGGGCATGGGGTAGTATTGGAGGGTATCTTTTCCACCTCCTCCTCCTCCTCCTCCTCCTCCTCCCTCCCTCCCTCCCTCCCTCCCTCCCTCCCTCCCTCCTCTCCTTCGGTATGCGAGTTCGCGTGCATGTATGGACAGCCGTTGCGATCGACCGATTTCTGGGGCTGTGGGTGTCAGATTGAGGAAGAGTGGCTCCAGACAAAGGGCCTTGATGTCTTTGCCTCAGGAGGTAGTCTCACGCTCGGCTCGTCTGGGTGATGTGCCTCGAGGCCACGCGCTCACCAGCAAAACTCGCGATCGAGTGGGACGTGTTCCGCGGGCGATGCGTCTTGCAGGTGCTTTTGGAGGAAGAGGTGGAGGAACAAGAAAACGAGGAGGGACAAGGAGGAGGAGGAAGAGCAATAGCAAGAGGAGGAGGAGGAGGAGGAGGAGGAGGAGGCGGAGTAATTTGGCTTGCGGTGGGCCAGCAGTCGCGCGCGCGCGCGCTTGTGGATGCCGCTGGGGTGCTCCAGGGCGAGCGCGGCGGCGAGGAGGAGAAGGTGGAAGAGGAGGAGGAGGAGGAGGACGAGGAGGAGGAGGCGGAGGAGGAGGAGGAAGAGGGGGAGGAGGAGGAGGAGGAGAGAGGAGGAGGAGGAGGAGGAGGAGGAGGAGGAGGAGGAGGAGGGAGGAGGGAGGAGGAGGAGGAGAAGAGGAGAAGGAGGAGAAGGAGGAGGAGGAGGAGGAGGAGGAGGAGGAGGTGTCTGCCTGCTCCTCGGGCGCGCCTTTCGCAGCGCACGATGCGCAGCGGAGAGGTACGGGGGATGCCGGCGCGCAAGGTCGATTCGGGGGAAGGCTCCCTCGTCGGGGTGGTCGGATCGGAATGGGGACGGGGCGCACGGGGACGAAGACCAGGGTCAGTTCCCGCCCCCTCTGATCGGGGGCACGAGGGGAGGTGTGAAAAGGGGGGCCGGGTATCGTGGCCGGGGCCATGATCTCTCCCTGGATCTCATGGCTCCCGTTTTTCTCTGAACACGTCCGTTGGCCGTCACTTCGTCCGCTCACCCGCTGCGGGCCACGGTTTGCCAGCCCCCCACTCGGGGTCCCCCTTTGCGGGCGCCCCTGATCTGAGCAGCGCCGTCGGTGTTGCCGCGGGCGCGGTCTGTCTGCGGCGGGCTTCTCCCGAGCATGGTCCTGCCTCTGCGGCGGGAGCTGGGGCGGCTGATCTGCCCTTGGCCAGGGAAAGTAAGTCAGGGACGGAGGTGGCGGTCGGCTGTCGTCAGCAGAGCCCCTGGCCCAAGGTGCCCCCAGGCTTTCCCGAGGAGACCCCCGCGGCCTGCCAGAGCCACTCCTCACGAGGCCCAGGGGGTCCCAGGGGCTCCAACATGGAGCGAAAAGCTGGGAGGCACCTTGGGCCAGGGGTACCCCTGGCAACCCCCGAGGCGGGGCAGCCGGGATTCCTGGCCAGCTGTTTTTTGGCGGCGGGGGGGGCCTGAGAGTCAGGCGTCGCTTGCCCAACAGCGGCCCTGGGGTTTTCGCGCAGCGTGCGCGCCATTCGGTGTTGGGCCCTGTTCTGTCACTGCCCCATTTCGGGCGTGCAAGTCCGCGAGGGGGAGGAAGGGGGTGGTTTGGCGTCTTCTTGCTCCTCCTGCTCGTTCTGCTGTGCGTCCCCCTCCCTCCTGTTTTCCTCCTCCCCCTTCCGCCTGTCTCCCCCCCCGCCTACCTTCTCCTCTTCCTTGTCATCAGTTTTTCCCCCGCTTCTGCACCACGTCATTCTCACCAGGAACCTCATTGTTCTCCCTTGCATGCTCCCCGTCCTGCACCTCGTTCTGCTCGTCCTCTTCTCGTCGTGCTCCAATAATGTATCCTCCTATTCCCCTTCCCCCTTCGGGTTGCAACCGCGAGCCCGCACGACGTTCGGGCAAGCATGACCTCTGTCCACACGTGTTTGTGTGATGCTGCATTTCGAGCGGCTCCACTGCACGGCAGCAAGAGGCAGGGCTGAGACCCGAGCTGAGGCAATCGGGCCGATCACGCCGTTCGTGGCTTCGACGCTGGCGGCTACAACGAGCACTGCTTTGACACGGGCGACTTCGACGAGTGCGACTACGACCCGAGTATTTGTAGCGAGGAAGGCTAGGATTCGAGCGGGGTCGACACGGCGTTGTGCCACTCGGGCGACCGTGGCGCACGCGCGGCGAAGACCAGCCCGGGTCTGCGACGCGGGCGGCGGCGACCGGGCCGGCAACGTTCTTCCCGCGGCTGCAGCGGACGCGTCTTCAGCCTCGTGCGGTCACCTCAGAGCCGATTTCATCGGCTGATCGGGCCGAGCGTAAGGGGGGGATACGTAGGGAAAGGGGGGTTACGAAATCTGCTGCATGCAGCTGGTTTCGGCCCCGCCGCCGGGCCCATTCCTCGATACACGGGCGCCTCCCGGCGCCGGGAGGCGCTGGGAAAATCAGCTTCATGAGCTGATTATCTACCCTGTCCTTTGCGATCCCCCCCTTTCGTTCCCCTCGAGTTAACAACGCGGCGACGACACGGTCGGTTTCGACAAGCGGGGTTGTGACACGAGCGGCTGTGACGAGCGCGTCTACGACAAGTACAGTCAGTAATGAGCGCGGCCGCTGCGGATGGCCAGCCGACGATCATGCGGCTTCGACGAGGCGGGCAACGACAAAGGCGGCCGCGACATGCGCGGTTGCGGTTGGAACGGTTGCAGCGAGATCGATTCCGACCAGCATGGCTCTGACAGGAGCAGATGCGGCTCTGCTTGTCCGCGGAACACTTACTTCGCTGCTCCTCCCCTCCATACCCTCCCGCCCCCCCCCAACTCCTGGCTGCCTCTTCTTCGCTGGGAGGGTGCCCAGTCATCCGACGGCATGTTTTGTTCAATTCGCGGCCCCAGAACTCCAGACCCTTTCCCTTGTGGCATTTTCGTCGCGCCCCCCAGTGCTTTGTTGCTTGCCCCAGGCCCGATAACGAGCCTCAGAAGCCAAACAGCATCGAGGACAAGCCGCTGGGACCGAGCAAACAGTGCCGTCGGTTCAAAATGAGGCCTCTGGCGGCCGCTGGGGACGATCCGGGCAACCCCAGAGCGCTCTCGGCGAGGCGCAGTCGCTGGACGGAACGCCGAGACTGGAAAGCTGCTAAGGACCATGCACACGTCCTGAAACTTCGAGCCTCGAACATGGCCCCACCTCCGCGGTCGCATGATGGCAGTGGGCTCATATGTCATGCTCCCGACGTTTCGTCTTATTCGAACAAGGCGTTTCAATTTTCCTCCTGGTGCAACTGCTCCTGCACCGATTTCGTGACACGCGCATTTGCCTTAACAGTGCGGGACCAGGGTTTTTGTGATGGGCTTGGCGGGCTGTGCCAGGGTACATGTGATGCCAGCCAAAAAGAAACCTTCGTTCGAATGCCGACCTTCGAGGTCAGAGTCTAAGAAACAACGCTTCATGAAACAAAGCATACCGTCGGAGATCTGGGGGGCCCTCCTCCTTGGAGGCCGAACCAGCAGCAGAGATTCCGACGGGACTGAGAACAGCATACCGTCGGAGATCCTTTCCCTGCCCTCACATGCCGACCTGATTTCCTCTTTCCCCGCTGCCCTCCAGCCTCCCTCCTCGCGCCTGCCTCTCCTTCATTGAAGTAATAATCATCATAATGCCCAGGGGGGAAGTGAGCGGGGCCAGGCCTGCTCAGAAGGCGGCGGAGCTTCTCAGAAGCCCTCTGGCATTCTGGGAGGCCGTCTATGTTCGGACGGGGCCAGGACGAGGATAGTTCTGTTCCAGAGCGTTCCGGAACGCTCTCGGAGCGTTCTGGAACGCTTTGAGAAGGCCGCGGCGCCCGAGACATGCTCCAGAGCCGCCCGATCTCAGAGGTTCCCGATTCCTCCTCGCCCGGGTCTATCCTCGTCGTGGCTTAGAGAACAGTTCTCAGAGGAGGTTCAGAGCAGTTCTCGGAAGGCCCGAGGTCTTCCGAACTCTCCGAGGAGGCCTCGCCCTCCCTGCACGCCCCTGTGGGCTCCCCGCGCCGACCTTCGCTGGGGCGGGGGGGGGGCCGTGGCGCACCACCTCCCCCCTCCTCGATCGCTCCGCCTCCTCCTCGATCGCTCCGAGGAGGCGGGGGCGAGGACGAGAGGAGGAGGAGGAGGAGGAGGAGGAGGAGGAGGAGGAGCCCTCCCAACCCCAACGAGAGGGGGAGCGAGGAAGCGAGGAGCAGTAGTCCTCCTCCTCGCGTCATCGCTTCCCCCCTCGCTGGGCCTTTGGGGGGGCCGCACCCCCCCCTTCCCAGCAGGCCGTCCAGAGGCCGCTTCCCCCGCGCGACCTGTCGCCCATGCGCGTGTCTCTGCCGGCCGACTGCCGAGGCGCTGGGGCTCCCCGCCGCCGCCACTGCCGCCGCCGTCATCCTCGTTGGCGTCGGCGTCGGCGTTTGCGTTGGCGTCGTCGTCGTCGTCGTCGTCGTCGTCGTCGTCGTCGTCGTCGTCGTCGTCGTCGTTTCGGAAATGGAGAAGAGAGCTGTGTGAGCATAAAGTCGGCCTGGATTAGTAGGTCGACCCTGCCAGCTCAAGGGTACCCTTGTGTCTTGTGCCTCGCGACACGTGCCTTCTTAAACTCCAATGGCGATGTGGCCTTCGGAAGCGTGTCCTCTCCAATGAAGTCCGACTGTACACTTTTGGAGTAGCTCCGCGCGGATTTCTTGGATCGGCGCTGGGCCCCCCATTCGCCAGCGCCGATCTAATAATTCCCGTGCAGAACTGAACTTTTATAACGTCGGCACGTCCAGTCGTCAACGTGGACATTGACGTCTCTGCCATCCTTGTCGCCGTCCTCGCTCTCGTCTTCGCCGTCGTCTTCGTCGCAGCCCTCGTCGGCGTCGTCGTTGACGTCGTCGTCGTCGTCGAGGTTCGGATATTGAGGCTCGAGTTTCGCGTCGACATGTTTGAACGTCTTCGGCCTGGTGTGGGCGCCCATGGGCCTTCTGGGCCCCCCCAGAGGCCCCGAGAGGCTTCCCAACATCGGCAGGTTCCTCAGCGCAGCAGGACCGGACCCCGCAGGCACGAGGGGGCCGCTCGTCGGCGGGAGAGACGTGTGCGTTCTGCGGGCTCCTCGGCGCTTTTGGAGGCCCTCGTCGCCACGGCTGGGCGTGTACCCTCGGGGGTAGCTAGGAATGCCGAGCACAGGTTCACAACACAAGTGTACTCAACTAATTCGTTTGTGCACGGCCATTTCTCCCTCCTCTCTCCTCGCCCCTTCCTCCCCCCTTCCTCTTCACTCCCTTCCTCCCTCCTATACCCTCCTCGTTTCCTCCTCCCCTCCTCTTCCCCCCCCTCCTCTCACTCCTCCTCCTCCTCCATTCCTTCTCCTTATCAATAACTCCTCCCTGTCGCACCCCGAGGCCAGTTTTTAGGGCGGGTTGGGCGTTTCGCCTGAGACTTCCTCACTATGTATGACCCTGAAGCTTAAACAATGGCAAAAGTTTCACAGATGGAGGGCGGGTGGTTTTCAAAATATGGCTCTCGCCTTAGAGCTCCGCATATTCGTTCTAAACAATTGCAAGAGCTTCACGGATTGAGGGCGGGTGGTTTTCAAAATGTGGTTCTCGCTTGAGCGCCGTGCAGATTCGTTTTATCAAAAGTTGCAAGAGCTTCACGGATTGAGGGCGGGTGGTTTTCAAATTCTGGCTCTCGCTTTAGCGCCGCGCATATTCGTTTTATCAAACATTGCAAGAGCTTCACGGATTGAGGGCGGGTGGTGTTCAACATGTGTGGCTCTCGCTTTAGCGCCACGCACAGTCGTTTAAACAAACAGGAAGAGTTTCACGGATTGAGGGTTGGTCGTTTTCAAAATGTGGATATCGCGTTAGTGCCGCGCACATTCGTTTTAAGCACGTGCAAGAGTTTCACATATTGAGGTAGTTTTTTTTCTCAGAATGTGGTTCTCGCTTTAAAGCCGCGCATATTTGGTCTAAACAGTTGCCAGCGTTTCACGGGTTAAGGGCGGTTCCTTTCCAAAATGTGGTTCTCGCCGTAGAGCCGCGCACATTCTTGATACACAATTGCAAGAGTTTCGCTGATTCCCACTGTCGACGTATCAGAAATGACATGTTATAAGGATTCACGATTTTGAGGGCGCAGCAGTTACGATGATTCGCGGAGTTCAGGAGGCCCCAGGAATAGCGTTCTGGCACGATTCAGGATCATCAAGACGCAACAGTCAAGTTCATCCGTAGCGTTGGAATACCGAGATAATTGTTGTGGCATGCTTCAGGGTCTTCACACGGTTGCCTTCCAACGAGGCAGGTCCTTTTGTGTGTAGGGGCATATGAAGAGGGAGCTTGGGGGGAGGGTTTATTCCAACATCGTTGGTGACCCTTGTGTTTGCACTGGTCCTCCTCCTCCTCGTCCCGCTCCTTCCTCATTGTCAGTCCTCGTTCTGGTCCTCCTCCTCATCCCCCTTTCTGACGTGTGTTTCTACTTATCTTCCTCCTTCCTCTCTGACCTGCCATTACTGAGCCCTGAGCCTCTCCTCCACCTCGTCCTCCTGATTGTCGTTCTCCTTCCTTCCCCTCGTCCTCCGGCCTCTCTCAGACCATACATCGACAAAACAATGTATTCGAATGAGTCGCTTGGAAATGGCCTTCCCCTATCGTGTGACAACCACTCCGTGTCCGCGAGCACCAGCAATGAGCTTCTTCACACCACACGCATTACCACAAGAGCTTGCGAGCGCCACACTCATGCACAATATGGCGAAGCCCGCCAGTATCAGAATACCTTACGCGCGCTGCTATTTGTGTGCTATCGCCAGCAGTTCATTTAATACAGTACATGTGTCTGGTCTCTAAGATGTGTGTTGGCCTATGCCTGGCTATCCGTAGCACTTCCACCAGCGCTGGCGCGAATTGTGATGTTGAGGGAGGTGGAGGTCGCGCGCGGTAAAGGCTGTTATCGGGCATTGTTTTCAACGCTCTCGTGGATGGACGGGGCGTCGCCAACCACGACCAACACCATGACGAGGGCGGCGGCTGCGACGACGACGACGGCGACGGTGGCGGCGGCGGCGGAGGCAGAGGCGGAATGGCCGCGCGAAGCCGCCGCCGCCGACGACAATGACGACAACAACCACGACCGCCACGATGACGAGGGCGGCGGCGGCGCCACGACCGCCACGATGACGAGGGCGGCGGCGGCGGCTGCGACGGCGACGACGACGACGGGGACGGCGACTGCGACAACATGCCTGCAGAAGCCATCCCCAGGCCTCCACACGGAGGTCTTCGTCGAACACGAAGAAGATGTGCACACGGCGTTCGTTGAAAGTAGGTATTTTCTGATTCTCGCCAATATACTTCTAGCGCCCTCCTGCTTCACTAATCGGGTGCTTCTATCTGTCCCCTCCTGTTCGGGGGGCGCGCGGAAGCCCCATCTACTTTCACCGCCTTCCTTCTCCACTCTTCCGCCCACTTCTCTCGGCCGACGGGTACACGTGCATTCTCGCAGCTCCGGCAGTCGATGCTCATGCCCGCGCGGGCCTCGCGGGAGGGCCCTGGGAGGCGGGCCTCGGGCAGGGCCCGAGGGCCTCGGGCAGGGCCCGAGCTGGCAGGGCCTCGGACAGGCCTCGGGCAGGGCTCGAGCTGCACGGGGGGCAGGGCAGGCCTCGGGCAGGCCTCGGGCAGGCCTCGGGCAGGGCTCGAGGCCTCGGGCAGGTCCCGGTCTCGTTTCCCCCTGCCCCGTCCCGGTCCCGCCCCGTGCTGCGGAGCGAGAGCAGAGCGGAGCGGGTCCACGAGGTCGCGGACACACCGACGAGCTCGCGTCCCTGGGGGCTCCCCGGGGGCGCCTCGGAGGGCCTCCCGCGAGGCCCCCGCAGAGGGAGGGCCGCCCCAGGGGCCTCCCGGGGAGGGGGTGCGCCTTGGAGTACCGTGGAAACCCATGCCAAGAAGCACCTTGCTTGTCTCCAGGGTGCCCTGGGTTTCTTGGGCTTCGATGGTTTGGCTATGGAGAGCGCAACGCTCCCACACCAAAAGTCAATGCACGTCCTGGGGTATCAGGGTCGGGTTTCTCGCGGAAGGTCTCTTGTGGTCGAGCTCCTGTTTTAGGGGATCGGCTACAGAGTTGACTCACCCCAACATTGATCCGCTCGTCGGATCTGCAGCACAGTGTGCAGAAGGTCCGTAGATCTACGAGCATGCACGCACTATTTTGCAGATCCCACGAGCGTTTCAATTCTGGGGTGAGCCAATTCTGCAGTCGATCCCCTGCTCGACCCCTCCCCGGGCTCGTTTCGACCCCTCCGATCCGCTCCGATTCGGCCCCGGCGGCTTCCGATGCCGATGCGACGCGGCCTCGCGGGTGCCGACCTCGCGCTCCGAGCTCTCCGTGGAGGGTCCTCCCGGCCTGCCGCTTCCCGCCGGTTCGACCTCCTCCGATCCCGTGCGGCTGCCGACCTGCTCCGAGCCGATCCATGTCGCTCGCCGATGCTCAGATCGGGCCGGACGAAAGGGGGGGATTGGGAAAGGGGGGGGGGTCGGAGGTTGATAGACCTCCTACCCTGACACGTCGATTAGCACATTGGCCGTTTTCGGTTCGCGAGAGGGCGTCGCGGCCGTCATTTTTGCGGGTCCAGGTCCGTCGGTTTCAGTCTTAGGCCGTTTTCACGAAGGGGAGGTTTACTCAAGGGAGGTTTGTCCACCGCCGAGGGGTCCGAAATGTGCTGCCTGCAGCTGGTCTCGGCCCCAGAGAGGGGCCCATTCCTCGATACATGGCCGCCTCCGGCGCCGGGAGGCACCGGGAAGATCAGCTATACGTGAGCTGATTCTCAACCCCCTTTGCTATCCCCCCCTTTCGCCCGACCCGATCGGACGCTGGGCGACGGCTGGCAAACCCGTGGCTGCCAAAACGGAATTCCGGGACGTTGTTTTTTTGTTCTTCCTCTGGGAAGCAGCCTATTTTTGCTATAGTTCAGTGTGCCGAGCCTGAGTCCGGGAGTCCGTGTCTTGCTCTTCTGGGCAGACCGCTTTCGCGGCCACCGACGTGCCAGCCCTCGCCCAGCTTCCAAGATGCGACTCGTCGATCCGCTGCTGGCCGGGGGCCCCCAAACGGCGTGGTGACCACATCGTGCGGTGAGTCGGTGGGGATGCTGGGTCACCGCACGGTCTTGGGGCTCGACTCCTGCTCCGAGGACGTCTCGGGCGACGGGGGCCTCCATGGGTCCCAGAACCGTGCGGTGACGGACCGTGTGGTGAGGTTTTGGGGGATTCCGAGGCCACCACACGGTCCGTCACCGCACCGTTTGGGGGCTCCAAAGCTGGGGCCCTCCTTCAGGAGGAAAAGAAACACACAGACACAATTGATCCTCGACTCCCTAGAAAATATGGGAAAATATGGGAAGTGGGGAGGAAAACAGAAACCCAGAAAATATCGGAAATTAGCCGGGCGAAGGACCCAACCATATGTAGTTGTGCGTACCGTCGTTGTTCGCACCGCATTCGGAGGAGCTCCCTACAGGGCCACGAAACGTGTGAAGGGTGTGCCAAAATTCGTCCGGTGGGCGCATGCGAAAGCAGCCACTGGGGCTGTTGGTGAAATTCCCGATGGGGCCACGAAGCGCTGAGAGGTGTGCCGAAATAGGTGCAGTGGGCGCATGCGAACGCAGCCACTGGGGCCGTCAGTGGAGCTACCTCTGGGGCCGCGAAAAGTGTGATGGCTGTGCCGAAATGGGTGCGGTGGGCGCATGCGAGCGCAGCCACAGGCGCCTTCGGTGGAGTTCCTTATGGTGCCACGAAACGTTTGAGGGGTGCGCCGGAATGTGCGTGGGTGACGCATGCGGGCGGTGGCACCGGGGCCTTCGGTGGCGCTCCCTATGGGGCCACGAAACGTGTGAGGGGTGTGCCGAAATGGGTGCGCGGGACGCGTGCAAACGTACAAGTGGTTTGACACAGTGGGTGTTGGGGACGCATGCGGGCGGCGGCACTGGGGCCGTCAGTGGAGCTCCATATGGGGCCACGAAACGTGTGAGGGGTGTGCTGAAATGGGTGTGGGTGACGCATGCGGGCGGCAGCACTGGGGCCTTCGGTGGAGGGAGCTCCCTATGTGGCCACGAAACGTGTGAGGGGTGTGCCGAATGGTGTGGGTGACGCATGCGGGCAACACTGGGGCCTTCGGCGGAGCTTCTATGGGGCCACGAAACGTGTGAGGGGTGTGCCAAATTGGGTGTGGGGGACGCATGCGGGCGGCAGCACTGGGGCATTCGGCGGAACTCCTATGGGGCCACGAAACGTGTGAGGGGTGTGTGCCGGGGTGTGGGGGACGCATGCGGGCGGCAGCATTGGGGCCTTCGGTGCAGCTCCTATGGGGCCACGAAACGTGTGAGGGGTGTGCCGACTTGGGTGTGGGGGACGCATGCGGGCGGCAGCACTGGGGCCTTCGGCGGAGCTCCTACGGGGCCACGAAACGTGTGAGGGGTGTGCCAAATTGGGTGTGGGGGACGCATGCGGGCGGCAGCACTGGGGCCTTCGGCGGAGCTCATATGGGGCCACGAAACGTGTGAGGGGTGTGCCGAATTGGGTGTGGGGGACGCATGCGGGCGGCAGCGCTGGGGCCTTCGGCGGAGCTCCTATAGGGCCACGAAGCGTGTGAGGGGTGTGCCAAATTGGGTGTGGGGGCCGCATGCGGGCGGCAGCACTGGGGCCTTCGGCGGAGCTCCTATGGGGCCACGAAACGTGTGAAAGGTGTGCCAAATTGGGTGTGGGGGACGCATGCGGGCGGCAGCGCTGGGGCCTTCGGCGGAGCTCCTATGGGGCCACGAAACGTGTGAGGGGTGTGCCAAATTGGGTGTGGGGGACGCATGCGGGCGGCAGCGCTGGGGCCTTCGGCGGAGCTCCTATGGAGCCACGAAACGTGTGAGGGGTGTGCCGAATTCGGTGTGGGTGACGCGGGGGGGAGGAGGGAGGAGGGGGCAGAGGAGGAGAGGAGAGGAGAGGAGGACGCGGGGCACCGTCTCTTCAAAACGAGGACCAAACACCACAGGATGGTTGGGAAATATGAGGAATATTCTTAGTTGTGTGTATTTATTTGAGTGTCCTGGGGCCCTCCTGCCCCCCCTCCCGAGGTGCCCCCGCGTTCGCCTCGGCGCTGGGCGCGCCGCGGGCCGCGTGCGTCGAGGCCGCCCCCCGGCGCGCCGCGCCGCGCGGCCCGGCAGGGGGCGGAGTCGGAGGTTCTCCGACGTTGCGTTGGCTCGCGGCGGGGCTCCGGCTTCGGGGCTTCTTGGGGTGTTCCAGCCTACTTTTAAGGCGGGCCTGTTCCTCTACAGGGGGGAAATTCAAGAATAGTAAAAAAATAGTACGGGCACTATGTTTTGATCATATTTGAAGATTTTTCATTATATTTCTGGTGTGTTTTTGATTTTTCGTCCAAAATCGGCTTGTAGGGGGACAGGCCCGACTTAAGCCTACTTGAGCCTTGGCCACCGGAAAGAAGTTCGAGCACCAAAAAAGTACCGAAACTCTAGGGTTTGCACGTGTCGAGCCCTGGGAGACACTCGTCCGACACTACTTCGACACTCTTTCGACACTCTTCGGGGTGCTTGAAATAGTTTTGGGATGTGGTCCTTAAGTACGATGGGAGCAACATAATTCGAGGTGCGCTCCCGCAGCTCCGCCTCGCTGAAGGCGCTCCCAAGAGGGGGCCCGGATCGCCCCGAGCTGCCGCCAGAGGCACGGGACGATGACCCAGCGGAAACCACCAGGCCAGCCCAGGGGCGGATTCGCAGCGTCGTCCAGGAGAGCCGGTCTTCATATCCGTTGGCGAGAACGGGCGTGACTGGGGCGGGTGGGAAGAGGGGAGGGGGCCGGTCACGTCACGATTCGCGCCGGCGCCGTTGGGCAAGGCGTGGGAATGGCCAATTTCCCAGACGGCGCCGGCGCGAGTCGTGACGTGTCCAGCGGGGGGGGGGGGGAGGGCTGGTCACGGGCGTTGTCGCGAATAACGAACACAGTGGGCTCGAGGAGTCACAGCATCGTCCATGCGATCTAGGCCTCCTAGATGGGGTCCAAGCTGATGGGGTCGGAGAATCGCGCCGCATGGCCGCATCGGCGACGTAGCTCGATGTGGAATCCGAGGTTCTCCACGCTGGTGTCGCAGATGCATTGCCGAGGTCGCCTCTGCATCGCCGATGCATCGGCGATGCGGCGCGATAATCCGACCCCATCTTCTCGGACCCCAGTTGGGATTGGGGAGTTTTGCTTCGCCCGCTTGTGTTTCATCCGCTTCTGCTTCGCCCTCGGTTGTTTCGTCTGCTTTTGTTTCGTCCGTCAGTGTTTTCTTTGCTCTTCGTTTCGTCTGCTTTTGTTTGGTCCGCTTTGGTTTCGCCCGCTTCTGCTTTGTGTGCTTTCGTGTACCAGCCAGGCGGATTCAAACTGGGGGAATTTACATCGGATGAATTCAAACGGGTGACTCCAAACGGGTGAATCTACACAGGATGAACTTAAACCGTTGTTAGTAAAGGAATGGTGGGTTGAGGGGGAAGGGGGCGGAGGGGCGGGAGGGGGGGGGAGGAGGGACGAGGCAGGAGGGAGGATGAAGGAACAGGAAGGAGGAAGGAGCAGGGAGGAGGGAGAAAGGCGGGAGGAGGAGCAGGAGACAGGAGGAAGTAGGAGGCAGGAGGAAGGAGGCAGGAGGAGGGAGGACGCAGGAGGAAGGAGGGAGGAGGGAGCAGGAGGAGGTGGAGGAGGTTGGAGGGAGGAGGGAGACAGGAGGAGGAGGGAGGAGGGAGGAGAAGGAAGGGGAGGCAGGAGGGCGGGGGACAGCAGAATTGGACATCAGAAGTGACGTTGGGTAGGCCAGCCCCACCTGGGGGATGGCTGGGGGGTCCGCCCCGCGAAGCTCCAGCGGGCCCGACGGGCCTATAGGGGCTGCCTCGCTAGGGCGTCGGGGAGTGTCGTGGCGTCTGCGCTGGGCGGCCAACGCAGGCACGACAGCATCCCTTCGGGGAGGGGGGAGGGGGCGGGTGGGGGAGAGGAGGAGGAGGAGGAGGAGGAGGAGGAGGAGGAGGAGGAGGAGGAGGAGGAGGAGTTACGGAGTTACGGATATTGCGACTGTGTCGGTCACGTATTGGCTTGCAGGGAACGAGCCGCTCTTCTGGCCTTGTCAGCTTTACTGTAAGCTTTACACCAGATCCCCCGTTCGATATTCTTCAGATAATCAACGCGATTACCTGCAAGTCTGCCATCGCACCTCCTTCCGAGTTGGGCCAACTGTTGGGCCGCAAAACATCCACAGGTGCCACAGAACCAAATCCCCAGCCCAGCGTGAAACAATTGTAGCGTGTGAGTTTTATCAGTTGCACCCTGCAACGGGGGGGCGGCCTGAAAATTTCGCCATCTATAGCCCTCAGGTCAAACCACGGGGTATCCAACCAAATCTTTCGCCTGGCTTTGGTCGTAGTGCTCCTACACTTCAAACAAAAGAGAGCCCGTTTTCAGAACATGTATGTAGGGTCGAAAACTCGTTGCACACCAGAGGCGCGGGTGGCCTGGGCCTAGGATTCCTGACTCGGGTTCCTCGGGGCTCCTCGGCCGCCAGGGCCTGCTCGGCTTTGAAAGTTTCCAAGGTGGCAGGCAGAATTCGCATGCGGACAGAGAAAGCCATGCTCTCATTCGTGAAAACCTTAGTCGTGATATCAGCGGGGGTGCGCACTGCTCTAGCAGCGGCTTCGGCCAGCTTGTCTGCGGCCGCGTTCCCCACAGTCAAATACAAAGGAGGTGTACCCTGGACGACATCCCGAGCTTCTCGATGGGAATGAACAAAAAGGACCGTGCAACACGGATCCGGCTTTCTCTTAAGAACCTGGCCTACCTGGTGCCACAAATCCGCGTTCTCACCATCAGGGGCGAAAGCTCGGCCACAATACCACCCAGAGCACACACTCGAATTACCAGTGGTGTATATCACTATCCCGTCGGCTCCGATCAACGCCGACAGGAAACTGTAAAGCTCACCCTTGGCTACTGTCTCTTGGTGTCCAGGGAGCTCCCCCCCCACAGAGGCAACTAGCTGCATATTCCTGGAAATATCATAATACTGTGCTCTGCCGCATCCGACTCTACGGAACCGAGGATCATTGGTATCTTCGCCCCCGCTGGCATCCACGAAAAGGCAAACAGGGGCCAACGCCGAGCCCCGACCGAAGCAGTTATCTTCAAACGCTCCGACGCCCTCGCTCCACCAAACAGCCTCCTCTTGTGGGGGCGGGACGGCGACCCAAGACTGCGGAAGAAGGCCCCGATGCCAGAAACATGGCTCAACCTCATGCTGCGTGTGGGCCCTCGGGGCATACTCATCTGAAAGTTTGTAAATATCATGAGCAGCACACTCCGAACAACTCCAAATTCTGTGTAACGAGGACTCCTTCTCACCTCGACACCGAACACAGGCCGGATATACAGGCAACTTAGATTTCTCCGACCTGCGCTCCCGTGGCCAAGCCGCCCCTGCTGCCGCTGACAAGAGGGTGCCCGGCAGCTGCCCGCCGTAGGGCCCCACTTCCAATTGACGAAGAAGGGCCAGGAGTTGGAGGATGCAGATCCTTCCCTCCATACCTGCGCCATCGAAGTGAGTTGCAGCTTGACGCCGCAACCTCTGTATCACCGCACCCTTGTACTCTTGCAAGAAAGCCCTGGGCACATCGACCTTCTCGAAGCTTGTCAGGGCCTCTTGGGTTGAACTGCCAATTGTCCTGGGGCTCCGAACCGTCGCTTTGGACTCGCCAATCGGGTGGCCCTTCTGGCTCCCGCCCCTCCTGCAAGAGGTAGGCAATCACTGCCGCCTGCGGTCCTCGTATGTGGCGGCTGCGCAGCTGTGGAGCCATGGAGCCAAACTCTCGGGCAAGCTGCCTTCACGTTCGCTCGATGCCGCTGCGCATCGCAGGTCGCGAGAACCATGTCCGAATCCACATCTGCAGACATCCGCGTGGCAACCGACATGCAGGACCGCGCCCGAGGGCGCAGTCGCAACGCATCGCCCCGTGAGCCGAAGGCTAGAGGCGTTGCACAGGAAAGCCCTCATCTGCCTCATTATGTGGCCGAGTACTCCATGAACCCGATGGACATACGCGCCCGCAGCTGCAGCGCCCTGCTGCTCCAGCCGCGCCGTCAGCCTGTGCCTGCGCGCCGTGCGCGCGCGCTTCACAACCTCATTGTGCAGCGTCTGGTGACGAGCTGCATTTGCCGCCTTGGTCGCGCGAACGCGTCGCCGCCCTCCACCGACGCCGTCGCCGAGAAGCCATCCACTTAGAGGCGCCTCGCGATCTCCTTGGCGTCTGCGAGCTCGGCGCAGACCACCGCGCTCGTGGGGGGTGACCATGAGGCCCTCGCGCTGCATCAACACGCGCGTCTCCTTCAAACGTGCCACAAGACGATATCGCACAGCTCGCCTCGATCCTTTCGAAACCTGGCTCAATTCGTCGATTCACAACCTGTGTGAAAACTGCGCATGAGCTGTCGCGATTCGCTGCATAATGAAATAGAGCACCACTTTGGCAAAACGCGCGCCCGATCTAAGGCCCTGGACCACCGACCTCGTCGGGGCGAAGGCCTCTGAATATGCCCCCCGACTGTCGCAGGCACCGCGCCGCCATGCACTGAAACAGCTCCAGCCCCGGCACCTCGGCTGGGAAATCCAGCCGCAACGCCGTCTTGCCCGACCTCAACCACCCGATTGAGTCGTAGAAGCTGGCGATGTCCAGCAAGCCGCGGCCATGGGCCACGCCTGGGCGAGCCGCTAGCTCCTCGTCCACCACGCGGGCGAACGCCTCCTGCAGCGCAGCGTTGCCGCGGATCGCGGCGTCCCACGGCGCCTTGCAGTCCTCGGTGCACGAGCGCACCCAGGGCTCCCGCGCCTGGGACCAGAGCCGCGCGAGGTGGAGCGGCAGGCCGATGACCCCGTCGCCTGTGATCTTCTTCGGCAGCAGAGTACCGATCGTCAGGAGCAGCTGATGCGGCCACGCCTGACGACCTTCACACGCCGCTAAGACCACCGCTAACTCCTCAAGCGCACTGTCGGTGAGCCTGTCGGTGTCGAGCGCCGCGAGGCGGTCAACTCCCATGGCCGCGGTCTGATTCGCGCGCCTGCCCGCCGCTCGCAGCTGCTCGCCGCACATAGGCGGG